TAGGGGGAGGGGGCAGATAGGGGGAGGGGGCAAGGCTGTTTGGGGGGGCACAGCCTTCCCTACCCAGACCTCCATATAGTTTTGCACCCCGATGTGGCCCTCGGGCCAAAAAGTTTGCCCACCCCTGGTCTATTGGCTTCTTTGTGTATGTAATTGCTTCATTTCTTTAAGTAACATGTTGCTTGTTTAGGGGGTTATCTGGGGGGTGGGGAGGTGTGTGGCTTCTGGTGTGTTGTGTCTGTGTTGATGGGGGCGGGTGTTTGTTTGTTTTTAATTTCCCGGTGGAAAGCCTGATTGGCTCCCGGTTGGGCAATCTGCTTTACAAGGCTGCTTGCTGGGTCCGGCAGGAAACGAAACTTCTCCTGTTACACCATCTGCAGGGAGCCATGGCTGCAGCCGGGAATCCTGTGAAGAGCCTCCGAGATGAAGCTACTTGCTCCATCTGTCTGAGTTTTTTCATGGATCCAGTGATTATAGATTGTGGGCACAATTTCTGCCGAGCCTGCATCACCCAGTGCTGGGAGAGACCAGATGCAGCCATCTCCTGCCCTCAGTGCAGAGAGACCTTTCCCCAGAGGACCCTGAGGCCGAACAGACAACTGGGGAACGTGGTAGAAATCGCCAAGCAGCTGAGTGTCCCAGCAGCAGCAGGAGGAGATTTGTGCAACGCGCACCAGGAGCCTTTCAAACTTTTCTGTAACCAGGACCAAACGCTCATCTGTGTGATCTGCAGGGAGTCCCAGGCGCACCACGCTCACAGGGTGGTCCCTACAGAGGAGGCTGCCCGGGAGCACAAGGTAGGCCACGGCCGGGCAGGGAGCGGGGCTGGGAGCAGGGCCGGGGGGAGCCCAGGCCACAGCAGATGTGGATGCAGTGGCGCCAGGGCCAGATTAACCTTTTGTGGGCCCGGCACCAATCTTATTTGTGGGCTCCCATGGAGGCAATGGAGCCTGGCGCGGGGAGGTCGCTCCCCAGAGTGAGGGGCCAGCCAGGGGCAATGAGGCATGGCAGGGGCAGCCCCGCTCTGCCCAGCCCAGGGCAAGGGCACTATTTACAAACCGGCAGTTGCCAGACACACAGTGGCCCGCCCAGCCCTGTGCTGCCAGCATGTCCCTTCCCCTCGGGAGATGGGCCCATGTTGTGCCACACAGCCCCCCCCACCCAACATCGTCCTGACTCCCTATGCCCAGCATCCCCCCAACCCCCTCCACACAAATGCATAGCGCCCTGCACAACATCATCCCTGCCCAGCAACCCCCTGCCCACAGCCCCATCACAACTGCCCAGCACCCCCCACAGAACCCCCGCTCCCTAGTGCCCCAACATACACATCTTCCCTGCCCCTCACAGCCCAGCACCCCTCTGCCCCCCCCACAAGAAACCCACTCCCCCAAGCCCTGCCTCCCGACCACTCTCAGCCCTGCTGGGAGGCAACTGAGTCTGCCAGGCTGAGCTGGCAGCACAGCCAGAGCTAGTCCCTCAGCGGGGAATCACGCCGGTCCCTCGGGAGTGGTGTGATCAGCCAGGCCAGAGCGGGCTCCCGCAAGACGCACTTCCCCTGGAGGGGCCCAGCCAAGCTCCCTGCATTGTCCCCTTCCCTCACCCTACCCGCACCCCCCCCTCCCCCCCCGACCGTGGCCGAGACTGGTCAGGCTTCTGCACCAGTCCCAGGTGGCTCAGCTCCGGGGAGACAGGTGGGGTCCCACAGGTGGTGGGAAGCAGAGACTGCCCGGAGCCGGAGGTGCACTGGGGTCCAGCCAGGGGGCAGAGAGGAGCAGGGGGGTGGGGACGAGGAGGCAGCAGGTGGGCAGGCCAAGAGGAGCAAGTGGTGGATGGGGGGAGCTAGTGGGGTCTCGGGGCTCAGTGCAAGTGGAGCAGGCCGGGGTCCCTTCTGAGCATGGGCCCGGCTCCATGGAGCCACTGGAGCCATTGTAAACCCGGCACTGAGTGGCACTGGAACAGTTTTCGGTGTGGGTGTGCTGAGCTACACCCCTCTTACCTCTGTCCATGCCCCCTCACCACCCCCTAGAGCCGGGGCCTGGAGCAGGGCTGTGGCTCCGGAAGTGGGGGTGGGAGGGGATGGGACATGGACAGGGTAAGGCGGCGGAGAGGCCCCCCCCTCCCCGCGGCCGAACGGGCCCCGAGCCCCCGGCGGAGCGGCCTCCCCTTGGCCGAGCAGGCCAGCAGCCCGGATGCCCAAAGCAAAAGCTGGGGGTGCTGCAGCACCCCATGCACCCCCACTTCCTGCCCCTATGTGTGGCTGGCACTCCCCTGCCCCTGTGGGGCTGGCCTGGGCCCCACCATGGCCTCCCGAATATTCCTCCTCCACACTCCCCCAGGGAGGCACGCTGTTATACAGACAAAACTACACAGGATCTTTTCGGGGGCAAGACAAAGATGCCACATTTATTATGATAACAATTTGATTTATGACCAATAACTAAAATCTTAATCCTTATACACGCACATTATACCTAATACCTATACACGCACACACACACACACACATCTCCATCAGATGTTCTGCAGCTGCTGCATAGTTACCAGTCCTGAACATAGCTTGAGTCTGTGGCTTGAGTTTGCAGCTTGGGTTCGTAGCTTGGGGCGGCTAACTGGCCAGGAAAGCCGGGCACAAGGAAGGGCTGGGTCTCTGTTGGGCATGCACTGATGCCCTTCCATGTTGGCAAGAGAATGTTACCCTCCAAAGTCTTCCATCTCGCCCATCCTTTTTGTAGGCTTTAGTTTGAATCCAGAGTCTATAGGTTTTGCTGTGTCACGCTGCCTCTGGGTTTGGTGATTGATCACCCGTCCATTGCAGATGTGACTTTCAGCCTGGGACCTGGCTTTGATCTTCCTTCTATTGTACCTTTGTTCTTCTTTTGGGGTGGACTCTTCTTACTTTGTTAGGGCTGTTTTTACTTCTGAAGTTACGTTAATAAAGTGAACAATTAAAAACAATTTCAGTTCTACAACACTCACAGTTTGGGGACCACTGGTCTAACCAGTCAAGGTGAACAAAGTGCAGGAGAGAGAGCTGAGGTACAGGGAGGCAAAGGCTGGGGATTCACAAAGGTACTTAGGTGCCTAAACCCCAGAGTGAGGTGCATACAGCTGGGGTTTAGACACCTAAATGCCAGTTCTAGGCTCCACTGCAATCCCCAGAGCTACTGCCAAGCTCTGTAGGAGCCCAAACTCACTCAGTGCCTGTGTATTCAAGGTACAAGTTCTCTCAGTGCCTGTGTTCTGTCTCTGGGCATGTGCACAGCTGCCTCCCTCTAGAGGCTTCTGGCTGCCTGTCTCCTGGCCACACCCATGAGCTGGGTGAAGACAGATGTTCTCCTGCCTCTCTCACCTGCAGGGCCTGGTCTGTGGGCACCCTCAGAGACAAAGACAAAGGACAGAGAGGCACCGAAGGGGCAGTGACTTGACCAAGCTCAGAAAACAGCTCAGTAGCAGAACCAGGAATTAAACCCTGGCCCCCCAACGCCCCTCCTAGTTCTCTAGCCACTAGACCACACAGCCTCTCATCACTCCTGTCAGGCACTGCTTTACAATCACATTATAAACCGCTCAGCACAGCTGAGTTTCGATT